GCGTGAAATTATTAACGCACACAGAGTGTCTCACTCGAGCTCTCAGTTTCAACTTGGAGTTCGAAGATTTTCCAACAGATTTGAAACTTCGCGCGAACTGTTCGATTAAAGTGAAATTGTATCGCATCTACAAAGAAGAACTTGACTTTTCGTATTATTTATGTTAAATTGTCTTTTACGATCTACATTACGACGAAAAGTCGTCGATCGAATTTTTTTCTTTACTTTCTTGTGGAAATTTCTCGCTTATTACACACCGCCACGATAAAAATAATTTTAAACTTTTGAAACTCATCTTTTCTTCTGTATCTTGTATAGTTTTGTAAATATTCACGATGATGTGAAAAGTCAAGATTTTCTTCAACAGAAAAGGAAAATTGTTCTGTTGTTACACGTTGTTTGCGCGAAGTTTCAAATTTTTTTGAATTTTCCAGTTGTCGAATTTCCCTTGCCAGTTAAATTGTCTAAATATCTGCCTTATTTATGCTGTTGCGTGAAGAAGCTTTTTAGAACAAGACTATGTTATTTCGACAAGTACACGTTACAGTGGGAAAAATTGTTTGAAAAAATTTCAAATGTATTTTCTTATATACAACGTCAATTAAATTAAAATTAAAATCGCACTTTTCAAAAATTTGATGCAATTTTTATTCTCTGTACAAAAGTATAAAGCACCTGCAGGTAAAAATGCTTCGTTTAAAAAATATTCCAACTTTCAACTCTCGTCTGATTTAACTTGTATGCAAAATAAAAAGAATGCAAATAGCAAATCATGTTTGTCCCTTTATCTTCCATGCACCAAATTTTCTAAAAAATAATAATGCCTTTTGAACTAAGAATTTTCAGGCTCAAATGAGAATACAGATAAAAAGTATAAAGTCCATTTAGAAATGTACTAATAAAAATCTACTTGTAAAATCTCGCAAGAAAAATGAAAAGAAATGATTCTTAATTCTTAGTTTTGTTATTAAGAATTGTAATTTCTTCATACAACAGCAAAAACAAGCTAGACATTTAGATAACTCTACTTAGCTGAGACACCCTGTATATACACTATCGTTGTCGAATGACTGAACTCTGTCGTTGATGACACGCTAATTTTTCACGGTCTTTGTCGATCAACGAACGATGCAATCGCTGCTTTGACACAACGTAATAGGACATTTTAACTAAAATATCAACAAAAACCGTTCGCGTGTCGAGCTTTCGATCAGAAATTCGTACGAGGCTTCGTTCATCAAGGCAATGATCTGTTTTAATATTTGAGCTGTTTACAACGTGAAAATGATGTGTAAGTCAAGTTCTGAATAACAAGGGTTGAAGTAAAAATTTCGTAACAGTATCAAAGAATGTTACGTGTGTATCCACTTTTACACAAAATAGAATGAAGATTAAGCTTTCGAAATCAAATGAACAAGAAATTGGCTTACATCACGCCTTGAACGGTTCATTTATTCGTAGACTGCAGATGTTTTACGACTCCGATTGAAAAAGAAATGGAAACCTAGGCACGGATTTGTTTCATCCACAATGAGTATTACAATATATGCATAGTAGATCTTTGCACATTACGCGTATTCCGCGTGTTTCTTTCAATTCTGCATAAATGCATAAAAATCTGCAGTCTATTTATTCGCATGAGAGAATGAAAAATTTCTTCTTTATTAAGGTCATCCTGTAAGCAATGTGGTTTCTGCCAGAGTGTTGCGTTTAAAATAACGAGAATTTTACAATTTTTTTCATAATAATTCTCTGCAGCACTGGAAAAATAAAATAAACCGATTCGATCGATCAATTTCGAACAAAGTGATCTACAGAAAAACCAGCTACGTATCTCAATAGTTACGGGATGACTTGAAATAAATTAGGAACGTTTCCTCCTTCATAGAAATCTATCCTATAATAAATTGCCTCGATCCGCGAAAAACGAGAGCACGTTTGAAAAATCCATGAGGGAAGCCGCGCACACCGAGTGTATGTACTTTCGAATTCTTCCTTAGAATCTGTACTCTTTGGTTTCCTTCCTTCATTCTCGCGTGCCAAATGCAATCGTGCCATCGGTTACGAATGACGACCCGTGCAACCTAAAACACGTGACGCGTTCCTTGCCCAAGCACGGACGAGAATCTACCCGCTTTCCCGCCCTTTTCCAACGTCGTACACCGTCCGTAAAAAGGCGTCGTTGCCTCCGAAGGAAATCGAGAAACGATAAATCACGGTTACCGAGCCACCGATACTAATTCAGCTTTCATTGCAGACGTGATCGCGACACCGGTGGTGTACTCCGCCCAGACTTTGACCGGCGCCCTGATAGGAACCTGCTTCTTCTCGCTGGTGGCCGGATTCGCTTCCGGTTTCTGGTTCTCGCAGAGGCTACGCGGTGCCCCATACCCGGAGCCGTCCGAGCAACGACAGCAGCTGAACCGGCTGACCGAGAGCTCGGAGTCGCCGGGCTTCAACAACAAGTCGATCAACCTGGTGCTGAACGTGCCGCCGAAGAACCCGAACGGCAAGAACGCGAACTCGTCGGCGGAGAACAAGCCGGTGCAGAAAGTAAAGAAGACGTACATATGATATAGAAGACGACACAAGGCCGTCTGAGGCTTGCCGCAGGACCCCACGGGTTCCGGCTCTTCTTCCTCATCCTCCTCCTCCGATCTCGCGGAATCAGACGATCGCAACGACGACGACGACGACGAAGACGAAGACGAGGACGACGGGAACAACGACGACGACGACGATCGTCCCGACGTCGAGAATAACGACGACGACGACGACGACGATCGGCTGGCGCGTGTCACCGTCGCCGGCTGCGTGTTCGATCAGCTGACCAGACACGACGAGGACGCGTACGAGAGCGTGGTCAGCGAGGAAAGATCGCTCGAGTTCCTCGCCGCCCACGTGCAGCAGGTGCCTTACGATTCGCGATCGATGTCGAAGGTTACCGATTACGGCAGAAGATACGACCAACAGCTGGAGTACAGCGAGACAGCGTTAACAGGGTTGGCGAACGGGCTTCAGGATTACAGCAGCAGCAGCAGCGCCAACAGCCTCGACGACCTCTGCCGTGGCCATCGGAGGATGTTGAACGATTTCAATCGTGGCGACGAGTCGAGCACGCGGGATCATTACATGGTGCCCACTCGCGATCCCCGCGAGCTGAACGAGAGGATCCTGTCGTTGTTCAATCCGCAGTTCCTGCCGAACTTCAACGACATGATCATGTACGTGGCGAACCAGTACGACGCCAGACGGAGCCCGCCGCCTAGATCGCGATCCATGGCCGACGGGGAGGATCAATTGTTCAGGAGCTCGAGCTGCCGGAAGAAACGCGTTGGCGCCAGCTCGATGTTCTTCCGGCGTGGGCTGGCGTACGAAGCGGCGCGCAAGTGACACAGGCTGCCCGCTATCGGATTCAAGCGAACGATACAGCGTTTGGTAACCCGCGATAAAATGTAAGAACGTGGTCGAGCAA